TGAATTTTAAAAAAATTATTATAATAATTTTTTTAAACTTAATTTTAAAAATTGAATTATTTAAAAAACTTTTTAATAAACTTAAAATTTTTTCTAATAAAGTTGATAAAATATATACTATATTATATTTTTATATAATAATTATATTTTTAACATTAATATTTTATATTTTATTAAAAAATTAATACTTTTTTATATTTGCAGACAAATTTACCTGCTTTACAATTTAAGGGATATAGAAAATGATAATTAATATAATATAATAATAATGATATATAGGTTGAAAATATATTTATTTATAAAATAAAATAGCTAAATTATTAAAAATATAAAAAGTATAAACTATTATTAAATCAAATATTATTGATTATAGTAAAAATAATTTAATTTAAATAATATATTAAATTATAATTATGATAATTAAATTTTTTTTTAATTTATTTATATATTTATATATATATATAAATATTTAACTATAATTTTTTCTTTTAATTTTTAATAATTAATTAATTTATTAATAACTTTTTAATTATAATTAATTACTATTCAATAATTAACTTTACTTATAATTAATTATATATTATGTATAAAAGATTATATTTTAATTTTAATAAAAATATTTTTATGATATTATAAATATTATTTATATAAAAAGATAAAAAGATTGAAAGTATAAAAGGATTTTATTATTAAATACAATATTATTTATAAAAATTCTAATATAATTTCACTATATATATAAATAATAATAATAAAGTAATATAATAATAAATATATAAAATACATATATAAAGAAAATTAATAAAATATATCTAATATATAACATTTTACATAATTAATATTTCTGCTAATTTCACAATTTATAACATTTATAATAATATTTAGTATCATTTTATTAGATACTAATTTTTATATAAATAAACTTATTTATTATTTTTTTTAATTATAATTTATTATTATTTATAATATTGGATTCATAATAATATTTAATTTTATATTGAGCTTCTATACATCCTTGATTAGCTGATTTCTTGTAAAATTCAAATGCTTTAAATAAATTCTTATTAACACCTTTTCCTATTTCATAAAATTCTCCTAATTTATATAATGCATCTTTATTACTATTACTTGCAGCCTTATAATACCAGTAATTATCATTATCTATATCATTTATTATTTGAACATTTTCATATAATTTAAAAATACATTGTATATCATTATATAATTTGAAATCCTTTTCTTCATTAATCTCTGTTTTAATTCTATTTATATAATAATATTTAAGAGCATATAAGTATCCTTGTTCAGCTGATTTTTTATAATAATTAAATGCTTTAAACTCATCTTTTTTGACACCATTTCCTAATTCATAACATTTACCTAAATTATATAATGCAATTGTATCTCCTTTTTCAGCTGCTTTTTGAAACCAATAAAAAGCAATTTTTAAATTTTTTTCTGTTTCTTTTCCATCTTGATAACATTTAGCTAAATCATATAATGCTATATCATAATTAAATTCTATTGCTTTTTGATACCAATAAAATGCTTTTTCTAAATTATTTTCAATTCTTTCTTCAATTTGATAATAATTAGCCAATATATACATTGCTATTTCATTACCATTTTCTGCTGCTTTTTGATACCAATAAAAAGCCTTTTTTATATCCTTATTTGTTCCTTTTCCATCTTGATAATAAACAGCTAAATTGTACATTGCTATTTCATAATCATTTTCCGCTGTTTTTACATACCAATAAAATGCTTTTTCTAAATTTTTTTCTATTTTTTCACCTTTTTCATATAATTGTGCAAGATCATTTTGTGCTTTTATATATCCATTTTCTGCTGCAATTTGAAACCAATAAAAGGCTATTTCTAAATTTTTTTTTGTTTCTCTACCATTTTCATATAATAATACAAAATATTTTTGTGCTTTAATATGTCCATTTTCTGCTGCTTTTAAATACCAATAAGTGGTATATTCCAAGTTATTTTTTATTTCATTACTATTTTTATATAAAACTGCAAGATTATATTGTGCATTGCTATGTCCACTTTTTGCTGCTTTTTGATACCAATGAAATGCCTTTTCTATTTTATTACTATAATAATATAAAACTGCAAGATTATTCTGTGCAATACTATGACCATTTTCAGCTGCTTTTTGATACCAATAAAATGCCTTTTTTTAAATTCTTTTTATTCCTTTATTATTATAATATAAATTACCAAGTTTAAATTGTGCATTACAATGTTCACTTTCAGCTGCTTTATGATACCAATAAAATGTTTTTTCTAAATTTTTATTTATTCTTTTACTACCATTTTTATATAATCTTGCAAGATTATATTGTGCAAAACTATGTTCATTTGTTGCTGCTTTATGATACCAATAATAAGATTGTTTTAAATTTTTTTTAGTTCCTTCACCATTTTTATATATACATGCAAGTATATATTGTGCTTCTTTATCATTATTTACTGCTGCTTTTTTATACCAATAAAATGCCTTTTCTAAATTTTTTTCTATTTCTTCACCAATACTATATAAAAGAGCAAGAATAATCTGTGCTGGACTGTACTCATTTTCAGCTGCTTTTTGAAACCAATAAAATGCTTTTTCTAAATTCTTTTCTATTCCTTCACCACCATTATAATATAAATATGCAAGATTGAATTGTGCATTTTTATATTCAGCATCTGCTGCTTTTTGATACCAATAAAATGCTTTTTCTAGATTTTTTTCTATTTCTTCTCCTTTTTCATACAAATCACCAAGATTACATTGTGCAAAAGTATTACCATTTTCTGCTGCTTTTTGATACCAATAAATAGCTTTTTCTAAATCTCTTTTGGTTACTTCACCTTTTTTATATAAATGTGCAAGATTATATTGTGCATCTTTATCATTATTTTCTGCTGCTTTTTGATACCAATAATAAGTTTTTTCTAAATTCTTTTCTGTTCCTTCGCCTTTTTCATAGAAATATCCTAATAAAGTTTGCGCATAAATATATTCCTTTTCAGCTAAATCTCTACATATATCATATGCTATTTCTTTATTAATATCAGTTCCAATTCCTAAATAATAACAAATTCCAAGCCTATATTTTCCACTTACATATTCTTTTTTAGATAACATTATATATATATTAAATGCTTTAATTTCATTTTTTTTATTCCTCTTCCTAATTCATAACATCTACCTAAATTATATAATCCGCTTAAATTTTCATTATTTGCTGCTTCCTGATACCAATAAAATGCTTTACCCAAATCTTTATTAGTTCCGATACTTTTTTCGTAATAAATACCAAGATTAAGCTGTCCGACAATACTTTTATTGTTTGCGGCTTTTTGCATCCAATTAAATGCTAAATCATAATTTGTTTCAATTCCATATCCATCCTCATAACATTTTGCAAGATATACTTGTGCAATGGGATAATTATTTGTTGAAGCACTTAAAAACAGTTTATATGCTTCATGATTATAGTTCCCAAAATTAAAATTATTAAAATAGAAAAATCCCAAAAGAAAAATATGTTTTAATTCCACTTGATTTTCTTTAAGCCATTCAAATATTTCATTAGAATCTCGTTTTGAAAGAATTATACATTGATTAATAAAACGCTTTGTTTCATTAAAACCATTTCCCTCATCTTGTATTTTTATTAAAAGTGTAATTAACTTATCAATGAGAATAACCAAACCATCTTCTTTCACATCAAATGATTCCAAAAATAATTTTTCTGCTTGATATAATATTTGTGAATTTTCTTCATTATCTATTGATTCTATATTATTCTTGTATTAAATTACTTAAAAATAACTTGGAATTATTACTATGCATACTTAAAGATGCTGAATTAAAATTAGAATGCACTTCGTTTAGCGATTCTACGTTAATTTTTTTTGGGATAATAGATTTAAATGTTTCATTATCCTCAAAGATAACTGCTCTTAGTGAATCAACAACTTGTTGCATAGTAGGACGTTTATTTGGATCATCATTCCAACATGCTAATAAAATTTAAAATATTGTTCATTTAAATAATAAAATATACTGTGATAAAAAATGGTCATGTTAATATTACCTTTATATAAGTCGCTATACAGGATAGGAGTGTCTTTGATAATTTTCTCTCTTCGGCCTCCAATAATATCAATAATTAAATTTACATCATATTCTTCGTTCTTAAAAGGTCTATGCCCACTTGAAATCTCCCAAAAAAGTACTCCGACACTGTAAACATCAGACTTTGGATTTATAATATAGTGTTGGTTTTTATTATTCAGGTATTTTGGATCAACGTAAGGAACAACACCATAGACATCCGTTGAATGATTAGAAGCATCAGTTATCTTTCGAGAAAGACCAAAATCTGCTAGCTTTATATTGTTTTCGTGTACAAGTATATTTTGTGCATGCTATATGTAAATTATTCATAATATTAGCATAGACAATCAAAATTCAAGACGAGATATGTTAAATGATAAATACATTACCAAATCACCATGAATGATTCCTTCATTATGCATGCATGCTACAGCATTTGCAAGTTGAAAAGCTAATTTATATTTATCACTCCACTCAAGTTTTTCAAAATTTGCTTTTAAATAAGACTGCAATGACCCACTATCAGCGTATTCCAAAACCAACAAATACTTATTTATTTGGTTGGTTGAATCCGCTTCTAATTTTGATATTCCATAAAATTTTATAATATTTGCATGATAATCAACCTCACGTTGCATTTTTATCTATTATATTTAAGAAATTATTTATCTTATAATAAACGAAGATAATGAATTGCTATGAAATATTTGTAATAGCATACCTCATTAACGATTTCTTTAATACTTGAATTGTAGAAATATTTTATAACCATTACGGATTCGTTCCAGTTTGCACGAGAAACATTTCCATTAGAACCACTGCTAATTACTTCCTTATTAGTGAACTTTTCATAATCATAGTATTTGATGTAATCTTCTGATAATGCCTTTTCTAACCAATCAAAGTAAGTGGTGGAAAAATTTATGTGCCTTTCAGTTGACATACTTACAGGTAGAAATTTTTTTTCAAATTACTAACGCTACAATAAATACAGTTATTGACGTAACACAGAATTATTGGCGTATATGTCGATCAATTAAAAAAAAAAATCGTAAAACACCGAAAACATTGAAAAAATAGATGTTACATTAAAAATAATAAATTATATAATAAAATTAAACAATTTTTCGTTCTCGTTATTGAAAAAATAAAAAAATCCTTCCAAAAAATAAATAATTTCTCTAGTAATTTAAAACATCAAATATTTCTAAATATATTTATAAGAACATATTGGAACCATGAAAAAAATTAACAATTATTGCATATTTCTAAAAAATCAAAAATTTCATGTTAGAATGAATTATTATAAAAATGATAAAGACTCATCCAAAAAACCATTTATTTTATAAAAAAAATAAAGTATAAGCTAAAATGAAGCTTTTAGAAGAAAACTTACTTAGGAATCGCGACAGGAATCTCGCCAATAATTGTAGTAATCGCTAGGGAATCG